AAAATCTCCAATGTCCTCAAGAAGGTAAGCGCCTGCCTGGAGCATTAAGCTAAAGGGACAGAGTAAAACGGAATCCTTCAGGAAACAATCACAGCTCATCTGAACCTTCTTTCTTTTTACATCTGCTTTAATTAAAAAGACAGACAACAAAGATGTAACTTATTTCTAATTAAATAGCGAGGTATGCATAATCCACATTTTCTGCCCATCAAGATATTTTAAAAGGATTTACCATTTGTGACTTGTTCGTTTATTTCAACCAAGCCTTTCCCCACCGAAAAAAAAAGAAAATCTTGCCTATTATTGATGGTACCAATTTATGTAGCTCCTTTTTCTTTAAAAAATTTTTATCGAACATGCTTCAAAGTCTCCTTACTTTGTAAGAAAAATCTATCAGCTATAAGGTACAAATGTGCCTTATAGGTCACCATTGAGTCACGCGTGGCAGCAAAATTGATGACACATATATTAATGCTGCAAACCGAATAGTTATTGAAAGGGGGAAGTTATAATTGAGGGTCAAATAGCTGTGTTATCCTAAAATCTTGCCACTTTAAATAGAAATTTATTGGACATTTTAATAGCTTTTTCAATCGAAAGATTTATCAAGTGCTTAAATTTTTTAAGTATTTTTCTAACTTTCTTCAAATGAAACTTGTAAAGGATAAATGAAGGGTGTTTTCTGCCAAGACCTTTGTTAAGTTGAGTAGCAAAGTATATTGACAACCAAAATAAATTTAAAAAAATGGATTACTTGTAGGTTTCTAGGATCAATAATACATAATGGTAGTAAGGAACAGTGTTTAAAACAAGTACAATTAAAGTGATGAGACTTTTTTTTCATTTCTCCAATATTCCCTTACACTTAGTAGATTTATATAGCACCTATGTTCCAAGGCACTCAGAATGCCTTATAAGCTTATAGACTTAGAGTATTAGGACTGCACAAGAGCAATTGTTTTTAACAGTAATATTTTTTACCTTAAAAATGTTCTATTGCCATGTATTGGAGAATAGCAAGGAGTGACATGATAGCAAAAAGAGCAGTGGCAAGTTGGGGAGTCCATACAAAGGAAGAAGCAAGGAGATGAAAAAGCAGCAAGAAATCATAACTTCAAAAAAGCCATCCGGCCAACAAGCAAAAGCTCGGCTTCACATTATCACAGATTTTGCTTCAGCGAGCTGATGATGAGATAAGCTGGACTAATGAATCCACCGCTTTCCTGGATCTTAGACGAAGCTCAGTTTTTAACTGCTAGATTATCACAGGATGAAGAAGAAATAATTCCTCTGAATAGACTCTATAGATATTGAATCAGTTGTTCTCCACACTATGAGCAGAACTACCAATAAAAGTCCATCAGTAGTTTCTAAGATGGTGTGCTCTTATTTATTAGACGATTTCACTATTTTTGTCAGACTAATATTCTTACCATTCTTAGGAAATGATGGCAGCCAGCCAGTTTATGAATTCCTGGTGAACACTTAGAATGTTTAATGGAATACTAAGCACCTTATATGTAACCTTTTCTCAGGTAATTGTAGGATCTGAAGCATAACCCATAAATAATGAATACTATAATATTTCATAAATGAGCCCTATGAAACTTAATATAGTTAAAACTTCCTATTCTGAGTATACAGTCTAAACAAGGAAGAGATTCATATATTTTTAGCCATATTTTGAAAACTTCTGAATTTAATGCAAAGAAGGAATAAGCAAAGATTTCTAGAACCTAAAGTACTATCTAATCCTATTTCACTTATTAAAATATGGAAATGTAAATTTTATTTCAAATATAAAACCCAGCAGAACATAATCAATTTAAAAGGAAAGGAGGCCCTAAGACTTACTGATACAAGTTTAGTTAAGCAATAATGGCTAAATTATTTACAGAATAATTTAAATTATTAACAGAATTTGCCTTTAACCTTAATTGGCAAATAATAAACTCTGAAAAAAAGAAAATAATGTCTATTATTAATAATATCAACTGAGTAACTAATTGCTTTTTTTTACACATAAATGTGATTTATTCTTCACAAAGGAGTATATACTAACATAGAGCTTAGCGAAAATCAAAATATCCCCAAATTCTTAAATACTGAACTGAACATAAGAACCTATGATTAGTTGAGATACTTGTTTATGGACAAAGACATGTATCTATGGTTATTTCCTCAAATTCATATCCTCCCATGACAATTTTTTAAACAAATTAGCTGGGTCTCTGAATAACTATCGAGCAGTATGTTCCATTTTAAATGTTTAAAAAAAATATTCTCAAGAAAATTTAAGTTCCAATTTACATTATGATCTCAGGAAATTTTTTAAATTTATATTTTAAAATCGATTTTAGAATATTCTATGTTTTTAAGACATTTCATTTTCATACCTTTATTTGCATTATATTTGTTTCATAGTCTGCTCTAAAGACCCACAGAACAATTTCCTATGGGCAGCTTTATTAAGTAAATAATTTTGTCCTATCCTAACAACTTAGCCTAGAAAAATCCATAAACTGTGAACTATTTATCATACAGAACTCTTCCTTCTTACCAACTTCATAGTGCTCTTACAAAATTGTTTCATAAATAGAATTAACTTTGGGATCATGAGAAATCTATTCACATGAATATTCAAATTCTCTATTTAAATCCTAAAAGGATCCACAATCTCAAAACTATCTGCAAAGTCTGTTTCTATAAGACATTGCTCTAGTTTCATTCTAAGCTATAAGTAATACTTTAATTATCATCGGAACCAAGATCATTCAATATCATTGTCCCTAATCCTTTTTTCAAGCAGCAAACTTAACACAACTGTAATTCTTTTAAGAATCTTTATTGAATTTTTTTTAACAATTTAGTCTGTTGGATCTCAATGCAGTTTATAAAAAAACTTCAGTATAGTTTCATATAAACTGCAATCAAAAAAGTAATTTACTTTGTCAAAGAAGTTATCTGAAGTTGCAAGTTATTTTTTGTAATATGCAGAACAGTAAAATGTAAGCATGCTCTCGGATGCAGGTGCTCCCGTGTACTACGGAGTTACTTTGAAGAGCTTGCTAAGGTCTGCAGGCAGTTTAGGGGATGCAATCATTTTCTCCACAATTCTGGTACATGAGAATAAAACTGATATTTATGAATAAAATATTTTTCTCAAAAAAGTTGAGGCAGCTTTTGTTGAATGCTATCTGTATGCGTACACTTGCTACACCTTGAACTGTACTAAGAGAAACAGCCAGCCAGGAGTCCATATTCATGCTGAAAATTGAAAAATCCCTCCACACGTGTTGAGGAGTTCCAAGAAAAGGAAGAGGTTAAAACACTATGCACAGTTGTTCATCCACACCAAGAACTTTACATAACAAGGGAGCCAACTCCTCTCGTGGCTTTCAGTCAAGGTCACTGGTGTCTCTAGCGGAGGGTGGAAGTGGAGCAAGCCCAGGACGGGATAAAGCTTAAGTCTACATCTCATGCATAGGTGTCCTTGTCTGGTCCTCGAATGTTTCTCAGACATCCGAATTAGAACTGAGGTTTGTTAACCTGGGGTCCGCATTGATTTCGTATCTGTAATGATACCCTTCCATGTGATCTCTGCAGGCGTCTCTGATGTTATGCATCCACTTTTTTATCCCCTTGCGGTTCAAATACAAAACGAGCAGGAAAATGGCACCTATCAGGGCTAAGACAATACCTAGGAAGACGTAAGAAGTCTGCAACGATGGTGGAAGGATAGGGTCACAGTCCAGGTCGGAGCTGTTGAGTTCCAAGAGGACCCGATTCCTCATTTTTTCCGGGAAGGCACAGGTGAGCCTGGCTTTGCCCTGCACTACCTCTGTCTCCTTGAGCCAGGCCACCATGTCCACCATGTGGCAGTCGCACACCCAGGGATTGTTGTCCAGGAAGACCCTGACGTGGGGCAGGCCTTGCAACTCTGCCAGCGTGCCGTTGTGGAGGACCTTGAGGGCGTTGTCCTCCAGGTGGAGGCTTTCTAAGTGTGTCAGGTTGCGGAAGGACACGTGGGTCAGGCTCACCAGGGAGTTGTCGCGCAGGTCCAGGTGCCTGAGGCCAGGCAGGTGGGCCAGGAGGTCCCGGGGCAGGTAGAGGAGGTGGTTGCTGGCCAGCTCCAGGCGGCGGAGGCCGCGCAGCGCGTGGCCCGCTCGCAGGGCGGTCGCCACTATGCCCTCGAAGCTCCGGTTCTGCAGCTCTTTGGCAGGGGGCACGATGTGGTTGAGCATCAGTTCCAGCAGGGGGCTGGGGGCCGAGACGCTGGCGTTGCTGCCCGAGAAGGCGAAGGGGCTGAGGCGGGCCAGCGGGTTGTGGCTGAGGTCGAGCTGGCGCAGGCTGGGCAGATGCTCGAAGGCGCCGGCGCGCACCTCCTCCACGCGGCTGCCGCTGAGGTTGAGCGCCGCCAGCTCGGCCAGCGGCGGCCGGCGGGCGAAGGCGGCGGCGGGGAGCACGGCCAGCTGGGCGCCGGTGAGGAAGAGGTTGCGCACGTAGGGGGGCAGCTCGGCGGGCACCTCGGTCAGGTTGCGGTTGACGCACTTGACGGTGCGCGCCGCCTCGGAGCACTCGCACGGTGGGGGGCATCGGCCGGGCGGCGGCGGCGGGGCGGACGCGGCGGAGGCCGGGGACGGCGCCGGGGAGGTGGAGGAGGCCGCCGAGGGGGTGAGCGCGGGCGAGGAGACCCAGCCCAGGAGCAGCAGCGCCAGGCGCGCCAGCCGCAGCCGCCAGTCCCCGGCGGCGGGGCCCCGGGAGCGCCCCCCAGGCATCGCGGCGCGGGTCTCCCCGGAGCCGGGCTGGGACGGCGCCCGCTCCGAAGGCTCGGGAGCTGGGCCCGGAGGGCGTGGGCCGGCCGGAAAAGTCTGGAGGAAACTTTCCTCTCGTGGGAACGAGGAGAAGCGCCGCAGCCGGAACTTGGCTAACCCCCTCGCCAACGGGCGTCCCCCTCCCGGGGCCGACTCCCCCGCCCCTTCCCTCCAGCAAGTACGCACGGCGGCTCGGGACGCTCGGCTCCGCGCTCCTCCTCCTGCTCCCCTTCCTGCCGCCGCCCCCGGGTGGCACCTCCTCGCCTCTTTTGTTGGCGCCTCACGCGGGATCCGCTGCGCGACCTGGGACAAGCAGGAGAAAAGCGTGAGGAGCGGCGGCAGCCGCAGCTCCCCGAGTGCACGAACTGCCTCTCCAAACCGAGTCGTCCCCACTCTGTCCCCAAGCCCTCCCTCCGTAAACCCATCAGGGCCTCGCCTCGCCCAGTCCCACGCACGTCCTCACGCGGGAGAGGGGCGCGATCCGAGACAAGGAGCGCCAAGTCCCCCTCTGCCCCGGCCCCCACTATATATACCCTTCCAGCTCCCGCCCTCCTCTCCCGACCAGACTCGTCCCCCGCGTTTAACTTCTCGCTTAATCCCCAGCGCCTTGCCGACCAAACTTCTCACTCTCCCAGCTCCTTCCCCCACCGCCTCCGCGGGCGACCTGCCTTCCGGGGCCTCCGCCCCCGCCGGACTTATCCTCCGGGTCCCGGTTAGGATGAGAGGGAAGTTTCAGGTTACACGAGTCTTCTGATCTCTTTTAGTACCATCTTGGATTAGCAGGAAGTAGAGACCCTTACAGCTGTCACCCCTCAGCTCGCGCCCCCACCAACCCCTCAGATCCCAGAGGGGCTTCAAGGCATCTCCAAAGGGGAGGGGAGGGCCGCGCACACAGCGGCGGTGGGACCCCGGACCTGCGCTGCTCTCCCGCCCAAGGATGGGGGGAGCCCTGGCGCCGCCTCCCGGTTCTTGCCTTCACCGCTAGCTCCCCACCGCTCACCTCCGCGCCCGCCACCTTCCGACCCAACTCCGAGTCCCACCAGAGTCGCGGCGACTTCCCGGCTCGGCGCAGCGGGCGCCGACTCTCCTCGCACCCCAGCCCCTGGCCCAACCTCCGCAGCTGGGAAAAACCAACCTGGGGGACGGGGGAGGGCCAAGCTTACGGGAGGGGCTTCTCCGGCCGCGCGGCCCAACCTGGGCAGCCCTCAGCAGGGAGATTTAAGAAAGGAGGCTGGGGGATTTGGGGTGCGCACCTCCTCTTGCTGGAAATTGACGAGGAATGTGCTGGAAAAGGTGAGGGAATCCCTTTCTCTCCCCCCTCTCCGGCATCCTTTGGTGGTTCCTCATTTTGCATACTCTATTTGCCAGGGACAGGAACGAAACGGCTGGTGAATCTTGTGGAATTCACCCTCATTGGGGGCACCTATGGCAGTAACGAGATAGATTTAGGCGTGACTGGCCGAGCAGCGTGAAGCAGGAGCATAAATAAATGAGCTGAAAATGTACAGCGGCAGCAGCCAAACGCCCAGCAGGCTGCAAGGGAGCTTCAGAAAGTCTTCCCACCGAATTGATACCTTAGGTTGCCAACTTCGGATTTAGGTGTAATTAATGGGTCCCCACCTGTCCCGACCCCGCACTTCTTGGATAGTTAGGGAACTTGTGAAGGGAGAGAGCCAACTTGAAGAAGAAGAAGAAAAGATTAGTGGAGGGGGGATTCATTCTTGATTCATTAGCTTTTCCCCTCCGCAAATTAAAAGCAGAGGGAAGAAAACGGCAGCCAAAGCATCCTAGAGACAAAAGGCAAATAGCAACGACCTGAGTCACCAGGAAAGCGGACCTGCCTCGCGCACCAGATGTGGCAGCGTTGTGACAGTGCAAGTCACCTAAGCTGAGAGAGCTTCCCGGGTTGGGGGTGAGAGGGAGGCCTCCAAGGGAGAGCTGAAGTTTGGTCCTAAAGTCTATCGCCCCAGGCAGTGCCCGACAGTCCGGGGAGGTGGAGAGGATGGAGCTGGGCAAAGGGACAGATTGAATGATTACTGGGAGGTCTGTGATACCAGAAGGGTTTGGGGTCCTGAAAGCTCGATGGTTGCGCTCTCTAGACAGATCTAGTAATATAAAAAGGATCAAATAAGGAATGCTGAAGCTTGTGCCTGGGACATGTGCCCTTAGTGTGAAGAAGGGCCCCAACTCTCAAGTGGATTCCTGATTACTTTTGTGGGAAGAGAGTCTGCAGAGCCAACAGCAAAAAGGGCCCAGACAAGACCTCGAGGGGTTAGAGACTCACATTTGTGCAAAAAGCCAGTTTTGTTGATTAGCATCTTCAGTACGTTTTTCTAAATCCCTTTTTCTTATTTTTAAAAGCGTTTTGCAACAAGAACTTTGAACAAAGAATCTCAAAAGCTGTAGTCACGTTCTGTATCCCGACCGTGGTGGTGGTTAGATAAATCTAGACACGGCTTAAAATCCATAGAACTTTGTACACAGCCAATTTTACTATATGATAATTTTTAAAACGAAGTTAATTACTCATAGGAAAAAATTGTAGTAATGCTCTAGCATGACATTAATTCTGGTTCTGACCCAAAGAACAACTGCTCTGTTAAGGAGAATGTGAAGCACTTTAGAATTTAGAAAGATAATATATATGTCCTCATCTGATCCTCAAATCAACTCAGCAGCAGAGATATCATCAGTATTATTGTCTTGTTGCTGTTATTGGTGGTGTTATTCTACTTTACAAATGAAAAAACTGGGGCTCTGAGCTATAATACCTAGCATTGACGGCGTCTTACTTGCCCAGCCCCGTGCTCATCACTTTACAGAAATTATCTCCTTTATTCTTCACATCGGTACCCAGGTAGGTCCTCTCGCTCCAGTTTTACAGAGGAGAAAATTGAGGCAAAAATTCATTCTATAATTTGTTTGAATGAGTGGTGGAGGTGGTGACCAGGCCCAGATTTGTCTGCTTCTCATATGTACCCCACAGTCCACCTCTAGGCGAGTTTGTGCAAAGTCCCACTCTCTCCACTTAGGCAGAACTGAAGCCACCCTCTGGCACTCTCTCTCTTTCTCATCTCCCTCTACCTTTCTGCAGCTGGCACTTGGTTATGGCTGCCAAATCAGGACCCAGAAATTTGGGGTCATTTCTAGCTCCACCACTTATTTACTTTGTGACTTCTGTATACTTCTGCTTAATCTGTGAAATAGGGCCACTAATGGAACATTAAGGCATTTCCATGAGAATTGAGATAAAGTATGTAACACATTTAGCATAATTGCCTGTTATTACTGTGTGCTCCTCAATTACTCTCCCTCTCGCCATTTAGCCATTTATTGTGCACCCACGGTCTCTCTGTAACTATGTGATTGGAGTACAAAGATGAATAGTGTAAGGTCTCCTTAAAGTAGAGTTGCCAGATTTAGCGAATAGAAATACGGACACCCAGTTAAATTTGAATTTCAGATAAACAATGAATAATTTTGTGGTATAAGTATGTCCTGTGCAATATTTGGGATGTATTTATACTAAAAAAAAAAATCATTGTTTACCTGAAATTCTAATTTAACTGGACATCCTGTATTTGATCTGGCAACAAAGGAACTCGTAACCTGGTGGAAGAAACAGACACAAAAATAAAAGCTTTAAGGGCAGAACATCAAATGTAGTTTGATGTGTGTATCTTTACAATCTCCTCTCTCTTTGTATACATTTTACTTTGTTTCTGCTAATTCTATATGAATGGGATCATAGTATATGTATTATTCATAATTTTTCTTATTTTAAAACCACCGTATATCGTTGTGCGTCCATATATATAGGTATGCCTTCTTCTTTTTTAAAGGCTCCAAAATATTCTATACTGTGGATTGTTATACCACGTTTTTTTAACTGCCCTATTGAAAGACATTTAGATCAGTAACTACTTTTTAAAGAAGTTTCCTTCAAGTGAGAAAAGCTTACTAGGATCAGTTCTATTTTGATTGTCTTAAGCATTTAATTATCCTAAATTATCATGCTTGCCTTACTCCTGACAGCTTGAAAATTTTTTTGTGCCTGATGCTATTTACATGCTCTAAAGCAGGACAGAGGATTTCAGAGCACAATTTTTTCCCCGTTTATTCTTCCATTCCAAAATGAAATAAAAGAAGGATCTGAATGTCCTAATGGAGAAGAACCAATTTAGTGTATTTCTATAGGTCACTTTGTAGCCTCCAGGAAAATGTCTCTGCACCATCATTTATTTAGCAGATTGTTTCTACAGGAACCATTTTTCTCCTAATGACCCAATGGAAAGTCATTAGTAAATTATTGAAATATTACTGCTAAATCCTGGGAAGGCAAGGAATAATGTAGTATAAAATAAAATTTAAAAATGGTGGGTGATTATGGCCAACCTTGTGGTAACTACCAGAGAGAAGCCGTGTGGTCTAGGATGGACAAACATCAAGCTTATTTAAGACTAGTTAATTTTGATCTCTGCCTTAAATTAGCAAAGGCGTGATAAAGGTGAACACTCTTAAATCTGAAAAATATCAAAAACAAATCAATTATTGGTGACCATCATGCACATATGTCATAAAACCAGGAACCAACACTTAAAACCAGAAAATCAACTTGAGGGTCAATTGGGGGGTGGGGGGGAAGTTATACATTCAGGGAAAATATAATTTTTAAAAATTGTTAATGATTAAAAAGTAAACTCTTCTCATGAGCTGATTTCGAATCACTTTTGAAAGAAATGGGTTTCTTGTCTGAGATAGATGAACTAAATTAAGCAAAATATTAACTAGGGAATGGGTCAAAACTGACATATTTGTCTTATGAATCAGTACAATGGGGGTTGGAGCTAGTAAAAGGAAAATATAACAAGGGCGTTTCAAAATTAATTGGAGATTAAATACTGAGGAAAGAAAGCTAAAAGATTGGATTAATTAAACTGTCTGGAAATACGTGATTCTTCAAGGAGGAGAAAACATGAAAAGGTAAATAAAAACAAGTATATAGTAATCTGCAGAACTCTCTAAATATCTAACATTACAGGATCACTCAACTTTAAAAGTGTTTCACTTTCTAAGTCCTTACCACTTGCGCTCCACCTATGCAGTGTTCTTGGGATGCAAAGGTAGATGGGGTAAAAAATCCCTACGGGTCAGCTAACTCACTGTCTGGTGGCGCAGGCAGACTATCTAACGGGTACAAAGCATATGGTAAGTGCAAGGGTCAGGGGTGGAGTGGGGAGATTGGGGAAGGGTCCACTGGGGAAGTGATGCCTGAATTGCATTTTGAATTACTAGTAAGAACTTGGCAGTCAAAAGATCGGCAAATTGGTGAAAAGTCTCAGAGAACTTGTTCATTTCTAGAGACTACATGGGGAAGAACACAGCACACACTGGAGGGAATGGTACAAGATCACACTGAAATATGGTGGGATCAGAGCACTGCCCTCCGTTCTAGAAACTTTGGCTTCATCTCTAGTTGGGGGAGCCTCTGAAGGTATTCAGCAGGAGAATGACAGGATCAGAGGTGCGTTTGAGATCACCTTTGCCATCTGTTTGAAGGGTGAATTATAGGCGGAGAAGACCGAGGCGGAGGAGAAAAGTTGGGAGACCTAAGTGATAGATGACGAAAAGCCAAACTAAAGCAGTGGTAAAGATTGACACATCAGACTCAGATTATACAGTGTTCTCAGGAGGGTGGCACTGCCCCTAGTGGGCATTTTGGATATTTGCGGAAGCATTTTCTGGTTGTCACAATGGTGGGGGAGAGCTGCTGGCCTTTAGTGTGTATAGGCCAGGGATAGCAGACATCCTGTAATTAGAGGGACAAACCACGCAGTGAAAAATTATCCTGCTTCCCACATGACTTTCAAATATCCGTCTAGACAGTCTTGTAGATGAAAAGCCTGATTATAATTATCTCAGCCCAGAAAGAACTCCATTTTACATTTAAACTGCAAATACTTATAGTATGGTTTTAATATACACTGAATTTTCCAGGAATGCAGCGACCGTATTTCACTGAGGGAAGAATATATGTTGTTTTCTTTGGAACTTTACCAAAATTTTATCTCTGATCGCTATGCCACTCATGCTATTTGAATCTCGAATAAAACCCAACTATATCCG